CTCTCGCTGGTGAGTTCATCTTGCTGCTGTAGACTGAAGACTAACTGATCTTTTGGAATTCGTCAGACCTTCAGTGCCAGATTGGGACTACTGAGACATCCAGCCTTGTGGACTGAGCGACTACAGATTCTCAGCCTCTCCAACATGGTGTAGCCATTGTTGGACTACTCGGACTCTATCCTGTGAGCTAAGCTGATAAATCTCTATACATATATATTCATTCTACCAGTTCTGTTTCTTTGGAGAACCCTGACTAATACAGGCACTTAGGTTGCTTCTATCTCTTAGCTATTGTGAAAAGAGCAGCAACAAACATGGTTGTACAAGTATCTCTGTAATAGGATGAATCCTTTGGGTATATGCCAAGGAGTGGTATAACCAGATCACAGAGCAGGTTTATTTTTAGTTTTTCAAGAGTTCTCCACACTGCTTTCCATAGGGGTTGCACAGGTTTGTAATCCCACCAATAGTGAATGAGCATCCCCCTTTCTCCACATCGTCTCCAGCGTTTGGTATCATTTGTTCTCTTGATCTTAGCCAGTTGGACTGGAGCCCATCTTTTTTTTAATTTTTACAAAAACTTTATTGAGAATTTCATATATGTATATAAGGTGTTTTTATTGGGGCCCATCTTTTAATTGGGTCATTTTTTTTCTTGATTCTTTGCTTTTTTATATATTCTGGGTGTTAAACCTCTTTCAGTAAGTCACTGGTGAAGATTTTTTTCCCACTCTATGGGTTTTTTTCTTCACTTTCTTAATTGTTTCATTCACTGTACAGAAGCTTTTCAGTTTAATGAGGTCCCACTTGTTGATTGTTGACCTTAATTTCTGAACAACTGGTGTCAGATTTAGAAAGTCCTTTCCTACACCTATATCTTGTAGGTTACTGCCAATGTTTTCTTCTAATAGTTTCAGGGTTTCCAGTTTCACATTGAGGTCTTTGATCCATTTGGAGTTGACTTTTGTGCAAGGTAAAAGATAAGGATTCTAGTTTCATTCTTCTACGTGTGGAGATCCAGTTTTGCCAGCACCATTTGTTGAGGATGCTGTCTTTTCTCCATTGTGTGCTGATATATTCTTTTTTAAATATACTATTATCATGCCTTAGTCCATGAAAAACTTGTAGAGAAACTCCTAGATGAAAATTGTAGCTCATCAATGAAATATTGCAGTCTTGGAGAAACTGATTCTCTACGTACCAGCCAGATGTGGTGGCTTTAGTCCCAGCATTCAGGAGGCAGAGGCTAGTGTATCTCTGTGAGATCAAGGCCAGCATATTAAATTCCATGCTGGCTGGGCCAACAAGGAGATCCTGTCTTTAAAAATAAAATCACTACTACAAAGTTGGGACTATGGCTCATGGCTCAGTGTTAGAGTGTATACCTAGCAAGCATGAGGCCTGTTTTCTAACACACACACAGTATATATACATATATAATAATTATGTATAAATGCTACAAAAGTTTCTTAAATAGGACACAGAAGTATCAACCATAAAGGTAAAAGGTGATTTACAGTTGTGCTTGCAGAATGGTGTTTTAGTCAACAATCGGCCATATATACAACTGTGATCCTGTATAATTATATCACGTAGTGATATTGGGGCTATGTGTGATGGTTAATTTTGACTGTCTACCTGGCACAGTGTATAATCCACTGGGAAAGGAATCTCGATAAGAAATTGTCTTCAGAAGGCTGACCTGTGGGCATGCCTGTAAGAGGTTTGCTTAATTGAGTGATGGTGAGAAGACTCACCCTGAATGTGGGTGGCACCATTTCATGGGCTCTGGACTAAAGGAGAAAGGGAGCTGAGCACTGGCATGCATGCATGTAGTGCTTTCTGCTTTTTGATCATGGATGGGATCTGACCAGCTCCCTCAAGCTCCTGCCCAGAAACTTCCCTGCTAGGATGACCTGGAACCTGGACCTGTGAGCTGAAATAAACCCTTTCTCCCATAAGTTGCTACTGTCAGAATATTTTATTACAGCAACCAGAAAAGGAACTAAGACACTGTATTATTTTTTAAATCTCTTGAGAGAAGTTCTCACCATGTAGCAGCTGATGGCCTAGAACTCACTGTATAGATCAGCCTTGCCTTAAACTCACAGAGATCTGCCTGCCTCTCAAATGCTGAGTTCCGTCTTATTTTATGTAGACACACTATGATGGCAGCATAAAGACACAATCATCTAACAATACACTTCTCAAAATACCCTTGCATGACTGCTTTATACTGCTAAAATTATTACTTTTTTCTTTGCCAAAAAATACTATTAAGACAATATAAGATACAGATGTGGAGAAAATACTTATAATACATAGATTACACAAAGATCATAATCTCAGATATGTTAAAAGAAATAAAAACTCCTATGAATCAATAAGAAAGTCTAATAAAAGAATGGGCAGAAGACAGGCACTTTACAAAAGGAAACAGCCAATGGATATATGAAAAGAACTTGATTTCATTAGTCATCAGTGGAATGCAAATTGAAAAGCACGGTAAGATTGCACTGTACAGTCACCAGAATGGCTGACATTAGAGCCTGACAGAGAGCGGGTATGGAGGAGGAAGAGCTCATCCTGCAGGTGACACAATGCCTCAGGGGAAGAGATGCCAGGAGCCAACACCTCCACATCTGTTATCCAGCAGATTTACACGTGTAGGAGAGGTGTGGAATGTACAATAGCTGTATTCTTGGTCAGGAATCAGTAAACTGTAGCCCACAGCTGTGCGTGTGTGGCCCAGAAGCTAGAAAGGCTTTCTACATATTTAGTGGGGAAAGGGAGGGAGGAAAGGAGGGAGGGTAATGTGGCATAAACAAAAACATGTACTATATGTACTATGTGGCTCTTACCCTCTAGCCCAAAACAGAATTGACACTACTTGTTTCACAGCTAAAGTTAGAAACAAGCCAATTGTCCCTCAACAATAATATGCATAAACCACAGTATGTGCTTTAACAACTAAATGTTATACAAAATGGAAATGAACAAGCTATTGGCATACAAACAACATGGTCAAATCTCACATGGCTCCATGGGTTAAAGAAGCTTGCTGCCAAGCCTGATGACCTGAGTTCAATCTCCAGGACCCACATTGTGGGAGACGAGAACCAATTCATGCAAGCCGTCCTCTTACCTCCTCCACATGTGCACCATGGCATGCCTGCCCCCACATACATTAGGCTTATGGCTTCTCTTAAGAGTCTTCACACACAGGGCTGGAGAGATGGCTCAGCGGTTAAGAACACTGACTGTTCTTGCAGAAGACTCAGGTTCAAATCCCAGCACCCACATGGCAGCTAACAGCTGTCTGTAACTCCAGTTCCAGGGGATCCGACAGCCTCTTCCGTCCT